GGCTCCAGGTCCACCTGTGCCTCCAAACAGCTGACAGCTCCTAGCAACTCATTTTCCTGTTGAGCTTCGGTTCCTGTGTCTGTAAAATGGGGATATGACTCTAGTTGCCTATTACCTCTGATGACGTAATAGTCAGATCTGCTGGATGACTGGATAGGGGGAAACTCTGTATAGTGGAAAGGGGTTATTATTCAGAATCGGTGGAATTCTGACGAGTAGAAGGGAGAGGAGATAGGACCCTGGCAAAAAGGGTGGTATGAAGCAAGACTATTTCTGCCACATTCGTTCATGAATATTTTTTGAGCACCTACTGTGTGCCAGGCACCAGCCCTGAGGATGAGGAACCACAAGGGGAAGAGGTCCTGGAATGCCAGGCTCCAGAATAGGGTGGGGCAGCAGGTTAACCCAGGTGGTTAGAGCGCAGTGCTCATAACACCAAGGTTGCCGGTTCGATCCCCACATGGGTCACTGAGCTGTGCCCTCCACAATTAGATTGAAACAACTACTTGACTTGGAGCTGATGGGTCCTGGAAAAACACACTGTTCCCCAAAACAATTTAAAAAAAGAAAAGAATAGGGACTATGTCAAATGGGCAGTGGGGAACCACGTCAGGAAGGATGGTGACAGAGAGGCCGTCGCCCAGGACAAGTGCGGGAGACCCCTGAGGAATAGTGCGTCTCCTCCACAGAGCAGGGCACAGCACCTGACTTGGGGGGATGGTGTCAGGCCTGTGAAAAAGAGAGGGCACTGAGGTTCCTGCCTGAACCCCATGGCCCAACCCAAGCCCCGCTCTCTGCCTGGGGTCACTCAGCCTCCAGCCCTTCTTGTGGCCTCGGGCTATTCAGCTGCTTGTGGTCATCTCCCGTAACCCTGGACGATAAATTAATAAGTAAAATGTGTAGTTTGTCAGATGGTACTATGTGCTCTGAAGGAAATCGACAGGAATTTCAGCAGGAATCACTCCCTCACTTCCTCTTGGCCTTGGCTTAAATACCACCTCTCCGTGAGGCATTTTACATCGCACACGCTGAGCTGAAACTCTTGTTTCTGTATGTTTACTTGTGACTGTTTGTCCCACTAGAATGTAAGCTCGTGAGGAAAGAACTAGTTGCCTGCTGTCCCCATAGTTTCTAGAACATTCCCTGGCCAATAACCATTTGCTGAATGAATAATTATTTCCTCCGACAAGTCGGAACAAAACAAAACTCTCCAAACCAGTTCTCCAGAAAAGGGGGACAGGATAAGGCTGCACAGAGCTGATGTGAGCGGTCTGCGAAGCGATTACAAATGAACTTTAATTTTATAACGTAAGTGTTTTTGCACACGTTGGAAGGAGGGAGTGTTCTGTCAGGAGGGCTGAACCAGAGGTGGGGTTTTCTTCTGATGCCACAGCATTTACAGCTTTTGTAATCAGAAGAGCAAAGAAAAACCTTGTTTTACAAAGAAAAGCAAGTGCTTCCGGTTGACAGGAACCCGGGATCTTGGTCTAGCTGCGGGACAGAGGTCCCCTCCGCCAAGGCTGGCTGCTTGCATTGGGGACTCAGGGACTGGGGTGATCTTGTTTCTTTGCTTGCTCCCCTCTGGCACTCCCTGGAGGCCACAGAGCTCTCCAGAAGGCTTGGGCACAAGTGGCAGCACACCTGGTCTACTACTGGCTCAGCCTCTGACCAGTAGTGACACCATGACACAGGTCTTTTCTCTCCCGCAGGGCGCTGGTAAACATTCAGTGTGACAAAAATAAGGTCAGGTAACTGGCCCACAGTCACACAGTAAGAGAGTGGGAACCTGAACCCACAGAGTTTGAGCCCAGAGCCTGTGCTGTTCGTCGTGATTCTGCTACCTCCTTAAGTTCCTTTTCTGGGTCAGGTAATCCGCAAAGGGCTTAAAAAACACAGCTTCCTTGAGTTCTCAAAACCCTTCCAGGGAGGTGGGCGTGCTCTTCATCTCCTGTTTACAGATATGGAAATCGAGATGCAAGGTCGTAACCAAGTTTGCAGATGGGATCTGGACGTAGGTCTGGGAGACATAACAAACCATCCCCAAATGCAATGCTGTGAAACAATCATTTTGTTATGCTTCCAGGTTCTGGAGGTCAGAAATTGGACCTGGCTTGTCTCCGCTCCGCAATATCTCAGGCCTCCATTGGAGTCTTGCAACTGGAGGTGACTTGACAGCTGGAGCTGGAACCATCTGCAGTCTCCCTTCACTCACATGTCTGGAGGTTGAGGAGGGCTTTCAGCTGGGACTCCAGTTGGGCTGAAACCCTGAATGCCAACGTGTGGCCTTTCTACATTGTCTCCCCATGTGTGCCGTGTTGGACGTCCACAAAGCAGGGGGGCGGGGTTCCAAGAACCCCAGGGAGAAAGGTGGAGGGGCATGGCATTTTCTGAGTGCACCATCTCTGCTGTCCTCTGTCAGTCAGGCAGCAGGAAAGGTTGTCCCATGTTCAAAGGGAGGGGACACAGTCCCCTGCCTCCATTGGGCAGGAGGGTGTCAAGGCCACACTGTAAGGAAAGCCCGTGGCGTGGGATGGGAATTCTTGCTGTGACTCTCTCTGAGACAAAAGCCCACTGCCTCCGTGGTCCTCAAGCTTTATGACATGTTGGAGTCACTTTTCAAAGTCCCAGTGCCCAAGCTACACTCCAGACCAGTGAAATCAGCGTCTCTGGAGTGGAACCCAGGCAGCAGTATTTTCTTTAATTCCCAGGTGATTACGGTGAAGCTTTCTCCCATGTTTGCCGAACACCTGGCCAAGAGTCTGGCTCGTGAAGAACCAGTTTTTCTCCAGGTGTGAACACCTAGGACTGCTTGTACACAGGGTCCTCACAGGTGGACTTAAAAAGTTGGAGTTAGGTGTTTCTTCAAACAGTTATCTCCTAATGATGACACGGGACGGTTGGTTTCCATTTGGGGGGGTTTTGTAATTTCCTTTGTTAAATACATTTGAGTAAAAAGGTAAGGAGGTAGAGGTCATTTTTTGAATTCAAAGTAAATAATGGTAGAGCTTGAATGTACACAGGGCAGTCACAGAAGGGCTGTGGGAAACAGGAGGCTGGGAAAACCCTGAGGCTGATCGTCAATGATGGTAGCGTGACTATTACTATGAATAGTATTACCTTTCACGATTGCTAGTGAAAAATCAACTTTGGGTCATTCTGAAATTTTAAAAATATACATCTGAAAGCTAGCCTTTGAGAAAGGAGTGGGCGGAAGAGGACCAGGCTGCTTGTGAAGCAAATAAAGAGACCCATGTAAGTTTCCCGGCTCTTTGCTGAGGAGCTGGGAATCCTTTGAATTCATTGTGACAACCTGTTTCTGTAAGTCCCCCGTGGGGAAGAGAGGTCAGTCATCTCTCTCGTTCTTAGGGGGAACTCAAGAAATTGGGGTTACATGTCAACAGGAGAGGAAAAAGAAAGGGTGTAGGAAAAGAGGGTGTGGAACAGAAGAAGGAGGTCCTGGAAGGGTAGAGTCAAGAGTGGGTTCTTATCCTGAGTCCCTTGTCCTCATGTGTGTTTAAGTCAGTCCCTGACCCCCACCCCAGGCCTTGAAAGAGTGGAACTCTGACTCCCAGAATCCTTTCAGATCAAACATTCTGTAATTTCCAAGAACTATTTGGTTTCCGGACCAGCTACATAAACGCCTCCGGAGCATAGGCTGTGCCAGGGAAGGGCGGGGCCAGGGAAGGCCAATCAGAGGCCAGGAGTGAGGGGTGAAGGCACATGGGGCCTTCTGGGAAGTGTCATAGGACCTAGTACCCAGGGAGTGGCCTTGGCCAGGGAGGGATACAGCACGTCCCAGCCCGTTTTCTCCTTTGAAGGACACAGAGAAGAGGGTTGTCTCACCATTTGACAGGTGAGGAAGCTGAGGCTCTGAAAAAGTCATTGGGTTGCATGGAAGGGAGAGGAGGAGAGGAAAAAGGCTCTGCCCAGGGCCAGATCTGGGGGTTTTCTCCCCCTATTTATGCTGAGTCTGTCTGTGGAAAATGCTGCTTGCTAGTTTTATCCAGGGTTCACTCCTTCCTGTTTCCTTTAATACTAAAACCCTGCCCTTTCCAAGTTTGGCTAACACCGCGCGAAGTGGCTATATACTACATTTTCTGAACTTCTCTTGTGGTTGGGTGTGGCCATGTAATTAAATCCTAAGCAGATGTGCTAGGTTCTACTTTTAGGTTATGACCTTAAAAATGAGTTGGGATGGTCTCCGCGGGTCCTTGCCCGCTCTCTTTCCTCAGGCTGGGATGCAGACATGATGGCAGGCACGGGAGCAGCTAGCTTAGACCTCCAAGGAGGAGCCATACTTTGAAGGTGGCAGAACCGTGAGCTACAATAGCTGGGATCCCTGACACAGTGGAGCTGCCATTTTAGTCCAGGAGTACTTACTTGCCTTTGGAGCTGTTATTATATGACAGAGAGAAACTCCTATACCATTTTGAATCTTCATTACAGCAGCCCAGATTTATATCTCAGTGTATCCTCTTAGCTCCAATCACACCTCTTATTTGCCCCCACGTTCTTCTCAAACTCTGGTTCCGAGACTGGTAACACACCAGGTAAGAATCTGTCCTCCTCAGCTGACCTCCCAGAATGCTGCTCTGGCAGCCCCCTGGGCAAAGAAACCCACCTCACACTCGAGGACAATAAGAATCCTTGAAATGGAGCCCTGAGGAACTTGGGGCAAGTCCCCTAATGTTTTAACTCTCAGTTTTTTCCATTTTACAGATGATGTCAGTAAGGAACATTCACAAAAGCTGGTTTTATATGAATACAACATAATCACCAAGATGCTTACTCTAAAAATGGAGAGGAGCTGGGAAGGGGCTTGTTTCTTGGGCAGCATGACACACACACACACACTCCTACAGGCTCCCACAAAATCAGAAACCCCCCATCCCAGATACAGAACCACAGACACTTGACAAAAGATGCTCATCGGTTCCTGCACAGCAGACACACGCAGAGCTGTGTACAAACAAAACCACACACAGAGGACAAAAACGAGGTACAGCTCTGTGCTTTGTTTATTGTTGCCGCCACCCCAGGGAGCTCTGGGTTCTTCAGTGTCTTTGCGGGGTGTCTTCGTGACTCTACCTCTCCACTCCCTGCCTCTTGCTCCCTATCTTCCCCTTTTTCTGGTGCTGGGGGGGCACTTCCCCTCAGAGCCTCTGTGGGGTAAGTCCTGGGGATGGGGCTGGGGGCACGCAGGCCTGGGTTCTGCCCCGAGGTGCTTGTTCCTCTGTGGTCCTGCCTCTGTTGCTGTGTGGGGTCCGTGCTCTGGCCTCATCTGGGGAAGGAAAACAGGTGATGAAACGGACAGAAGCTTGGTTCCTAATTCTGCCTCTCCTACTCACTTGTTCTGTGACTCCAGAGAAAGACCCTCCCCACTCTGGGCCTCAGTTTCCCTCCCTGTAAACCAGATTTCCCTCCAGTAAGAAAGGGTCTGGGGCCGGCCAAGTGGCACATTGAAGAGCTGGCTTGGGACGCCAAAGGGCCCCGGTTCGGATCCCACATATGAGGGCCAGTGACACTGCCCTCCACAGCTAAGATGCTGAACAACAGCTCGACCTGGAGCTGGGCTGCTGTGAGTCGCCGGCGACGGCGTAGGCTGCAGCCCCTGCTGCAGTGGGTTGCCATGGGCTACCGTGTGTAGCCAGCAGCCAGCGTGAGTGGCCAGCAGCCGCAGTGAGCGGCCGTCCAGAGGCTGGCGACTGATCTGCCTCGCCCGGGAAGAGCGCAATGATGGTGCCAACTTGGGCCAGTGAAGCAACGTCCTCCACAACTAGACTGAAGAACAAAAGGACAGCAACTTGTCTGTTCCCCTTCCCCCAATTCCCCAGCACTGTTCCCATCCCCCCAATTCCCCAATAAAAAAATATGGAAAAAAAAAAGGGGTTTGCATTTCCCCTTTGCTGTGGTCACTAGGAACTCAGAGTCAAACGTATGTCTCGTTTTATTCTATGTTAAGACAACAGTTCTTTGACCCCCCTCGTCCCCACCCAACCATGCACACTCAGCCCTGTCCTTTCGAGGAAGAGGGAGGGACCTTCACAGGTGCTCTGAGCCCCTGACTCCTTACCTCCAGCTCTGTCTCAGGGCCGTGCCTCCCGCTTATTCTGCTCTGTATTCTGGAGCTTGGTCACCAGCTTCCTCTCGTGCCCACCAGGGCTGGGGCGGTTGGTGTTGGCAGCAGCTTCTCTTTTGGTGCGACCTTTCCGGGCTCCCGCTCCTGGGAGCAGAGGCAAGAGCCCAAGGTGAGGTGGCTGGAGGCGTGATGACAAGCCTCAGAGGAGAGGTGGGGATTGTGGGATGCGGCAGTGGAAAGAGCATGGGTTGGAGTAGGGAGCTGGGGGAATTGCCACCACATAGCTTTGGGCAGTCATGGTCCCTCTTTCTCCATCTGAGGAATGAGGGCTACCCCAGATGATCTGTTGTTGCTCCAACTTTCTAGGCATGTGTGAGGCCCCCCAAGCTGAGTAGGACACTGCTCAGTGGATGAGGGGTTCAGGGAACAGGTTGGAAAAGGGTGAGGAGTGGAAAGAAGTTCAAGGAGGGGTCCTAATGTGGGTGCGGGGGTCAGAAGTGGAAGGACCAGGAAGGTGGCAGGGCCAGGCCTTACCCAGGTGAGAATAAGCCAGGCTGTAAAGGTCGTACTCATCCAGATTGGGGTCTTCGTCCTTGGGGCCTGGGGGCTGCCGGTTTGGGTTGACTGCTGTGGGGATGGCGGCCATCAGTTCTCCTTTACTCTCTCTCTCTCTCTCTCTCTCACCCTCTTTCACCTTCTAAAGCTTTGTTTGTGTCTGATCTCCTGACACCTCCCCGTTCACTGGATCCAATTTATAAGGCCACGTCTCTTCCTCAGCCTGCAGCCTGGCTCCAGCCCCTCAGGCGCTGTCTGATGCAATCTGGCCCCTTTCCAGAACCCAGCCTAGTAAACAGCAGTCCTGAGAGGAGAAAAGACTGAGTCCTGTGAGTCCCAGCCCCGCTTGCCTCCTCTCTCTCACTGGCGCTGCCCTGCTGGTATTTTCCACAGAAGAGATCCCCGCCCCTTAGGGAGCAGGAGGAAAAAAGGCAAGGTTTAGGCATAAACAGTCCTTGGGATCCTGGTCAGTAGGGGCCAAGGGCCTCACCTGGCCCACTCCTTTCTGTCCATCTCCTGTCCTCTCCCCTTCCCCCCACGTGCCCCTTCCGGGCTTAAGGTCATGGCCACACAGCTGACCCTCACTTCCACCACGATTCTGGCTCAGAGTCAGGACCATGGTGGCAGAATATGGCGTGAAGGATGTGGGGAGAGGATATCGACATACTATGTGCTAGGTCCGTGGTTCTCTTCCCTGCCACACCCAACACCCCTTTTTTATAAGAAGCATCTTGTAAAACCCCCTTGTTACCCTGAACTGGGTCCCTAGGTCATTTCCCTCACCTGAGAGGGAGGCCGGCAGAGTGGTTAAAAGTGCGGACTCTGGAGCCAGATCTCTAACCCCTGACCCACTACTTCCTGTGTGACCCCAGAAAAGTCACTTCACCTCTCTGTGCCTCAGTGGTCTCCTCTATAAAATGAGGGTGATTATATTTATATCTACCTCCCAGAGTTGGTGAGAGGATCCAATGAGATACTACACGGAAAGGCCCTCACACCAGTGTAAGTTGCACTATGTAAGAGTTAATCACATAATTTCCAAGCAACTCAGTGGAATGCCCTCGCAGTAATGTAAATGAGACAAAAAAGGATATTAATTCATAATAAAATAGTATCTATTTTGAAATATGGATATACCAAAGTAGAAGACATTATGAAGTAAGCAGATGTTTGTACCACTTTAATAATGAATTAAATGAAGGGGTTCAGATAAGAAACACGTGGAAGTGGAATTTTCCACTCTTGCCTGAAGGCTCTGACCGTGGGTCCTGTTGCCCCACGGAAACCACACCCTTGGTTGCCCACTGAAGCCTCTGCAGAGGCTCCTGCACCAGCTCCCAGCTCCCACTGTCTGGAGCAACGAAGGAGGCTTTTTTTCTTTTTCTTTTTCCTTTTTAACTTAGTAGTTTCCAACACAACAGGACCCTCTCAGCCCAGCGCAACTGTTCCTTCTCTGCTCACCCTCCCCACTCAGCTATGAGCCTGTTGAAACACTATTCCATCTTTTTTTTTTTTTTTTTTTAGCTGAGCCATCCTGCTACCTGTGGCAGCTCAGCGGCTGCTCAGCTCGGGCTGGACTTGAACCACTGTTGCTCA